GCGAGTCAATCAGTCAATGATGGTAGAAGCCACAGACCTGTCCCAGCAGGACTGAGGTTTTGATCACTTGGCTAAGAGAGATGGGACCCACCCAAGACTTGTGTGAGGGTAAGATCACTGATGCAGCCCCTCCCCTCCCATAAAACTCATCCCAGAGCCTCTGGGGCACATGGGAAGGATTTATGCTTCTGGCCTTTCTGTGCAAGCAATCTCTTTGTGTTGTCCCTTAGTTTGATGTTTAGGCTGAGAGTTGAAAAAGTCCCCAGAGAGTAGATGGAAAAACAACTAAAAATCACTATCATTTTGTTAATTACAAAGAGAAGCCTCGCTTTGCTGACCTCCTGAACTTTGGGGTGAATCCACCCCAAAGAATTTCTGATGTAACTCGTAACTGTGTCCTGGTGGGCAGAGCAGAGGATGGCTCCAGCCTTTCCAAAGGGTTTCCTTCACACCAGCCAGGACCAAGAAATAAATCACTCCTTCCATCTTCTTTAAGGAAATACATCTTGCTTAATTCATAGAACAATAGTGTTGGAAAGTTTAGAGGTCATCTAGCCTAACCATCTGTGTGGTGCAGGATCCACCAGAGCAGAGTATTGACCCTACTTTTAAATGCCACTATTCATTTTCCTGGCCTGTGCACATCAGTACATCAGTTGACTCTAAAGTAGTAGTAGTAGTAGTAGTAGTAGTAGTAGTAGTAATAATAATAATAATAATAATAATAATAATAATAATAAAAATATTATTTTAAAAAAGAGTCATTGGTCTTCCTCAAGAAGCCATCACTGGACCCAATGATTCTGGACAATTTTCATGCAGTATCCAATCTTCCTTTTTTAGAGAAGATTGTAGAGAAGGTGGTCACACAACAGCTTCAGAGGGTCCTGGATGAAGCAGATTATCTGGACCCCTTTCAGTTGGGATTCAGGCCTAGATATGGGCCTGAGTCACACTTTTTGATGACCTCTGGTGAGATCGGCTTGGGGGTAGTAGGTCCATCCTTGCACTTCTTGACCTCTCAGTGGCTTTCAATACCATCGACCATGGTATCCTTCTGCACTGCCTACAGGAGATGGCAGTCAGCGGCACTGTACTGCGATGGTTCTTTTCCTTCCTCAGTGGCCAGTTTCAGTTGGTGTTGACTGGGGGCAAGAGGTCCTGCCCTCGGCCTCTAAATTATGGGGTGCTGCAGGGTTCGGTACTCTCTCCGCTCCTATTTATCACCTGCATGAAGCCGCTGGGTGAGGCCATCCATCACCATGGGGTGAGGTATCATCAATATGTTGATGTTATCCAATTATGCATCTCTGCCCCTGGTGAAGTAAGTGATGCTGCCCTCCAGAAGGGAAAGCATTACTGCCTGCCCTTGACAAGGCCATCTGTGTTTGCAGAAAAATAAGATTTAGGAAATATTTGGCCAGAGCACCCTTAGTACCTCAAACCAATGAGCAATAGAGTTCTGGGGCTCAGGCCAACTCCTTCTGAATCCATATCAGCTCTCTTTTTTTAACCAGTCTCATGGCATCCACATATCCCAGCTGACTTAGATATTCAGGGAAAACTATAGGTAGCAAGCTTTTGTTCCATAACTAATTGCCAACTGCAGGGGTTCTGGGATGGCCAGAACTCCAAACACCAGTCATAACCACCATTCATTCAGTGTCACCGTAACTTTGAATGGTCATAGGTCGAGGACTACCTGTATGTAGCTTTTGCTATGCGATGTGCTCATTTATTTATAATGGCAGGAGCCAGCCTTTTCTTTTGATAAAATGGCATTACTACTGCCTAGACAATCTTTCATCATCCCCTTAAACTTTTTGTAAATGTATAAAGAATATATTGCAACACTCTGAATCATGTCTGTTCAGCTGTTTAAAGAGTACTACTGAAGGAGAATTTGGGGGTCAAAGTAAAAGTCCCCCCAACCAAAGACATCTTCCCAGGGAAACAAAGCATGGTCTTGGCTATGGGGTCTCCAATTAGGCAACTCTTTCTGGGCATCTGGAGGATAAAATTGCTTGGATCCGTTCCCAGTTGGATGCCAAGTGTGGGGCATGGTGTGTGGAGATGCCTGGGGATCGTGCTTACCCTGTTATCTGGGAACAGTTTGATCCTGTTGGGTCTGAGGATGTGGACAAGGTCCTCTGGTCTGTAAATGCCACCACTTGTCAATTAGATCCATGCCCCTTCTGTTGATTAAGGTAGCTCAGGAGGTAATATGTGGGTGGGTCCAGAGAAGGATGAATTCATCTTTGAGAGAGGGAGTGTTTCTGGCTGCCTTTAAAGAGGTGCTGGTGCACCCCCTCCTCAAGGAACTGTTGCTGGATCCCACCATACTGGACAATTTTCATCCAGTCTCCCGCCTTCCCTTTTTAGGGAAGGTGGTTGAGAAACTGGTGGCATTGCAGCTCCAGAGGATCCTGGATTGAATGGATTATCTGGACCCTCTCTCAACACAAAATTGAAGTTTCAGATTTCTTTTTCAACTTCTTCAGAAGAGAATCTATAAAGTTTTGAATCTTAAACATACTAACTTCCCATTTAAATATATACCATCTGGACAAACAGTGAGATGTGACAGAGGGAAATCTGGTCAGGCTTTCAAGATTGTGTTACAATACAATAATATAACACAATATCATAATACAATGCAATGATAATACAATAATGAAGTAGCATTTCTGGAATCTTAACTTTTTCTCAACTTGGTCTACCTAGAAAGGCTGGGATTAACCTTAAGAGTCTGTCCAAATTTTTCCCATCCCTTAGACTAAATAAAAT